CCAGTGTCAAATTCTTAATTGAAGAAAGACACGTCTACTGAGTAGAGTTGGACTTGTACCTACAGAGATACAACTTCTAGCATACTGACAAAGTTTTAACAGAGGAAAAACACATTTTTCAATTATCACAATCTTTTACAGACATATCCAAAACCAGAGTTAGAGCACATAGACACCCAGTAGCAAGAGCACCTCAGTCGCAGGGGAGAGAATTGATGTGAAAGATGGAGCACTTGCTCCGGGTTCCCAAATGCAGGCAATTGCCCTTCTCTCACAAGAATTGTGAAGACCAAAGAATATCCTTCTGTCTCCCAATGGCTCAGGTCCCATGATGGGGTTTACTGGCCAATCTTTTGCGTGAGCAATTTGGCCCCATGTCTGGGTGTTCCTTATGGTAAATCCCAGCCAGTTCCAATGAGTCTTCAGTACCTTTCCACATTCATCTGTCTTAGGCTAGTAAAGTGCAATACATCACGTACCCTACCCTTTCCTCTCTCTTCCCCTTTGCGAAGCCTGTGTGTCAGGCCCAGCAAAGGCAAAGATCTCAGTTATGTAATCAATCCAGGTGTCTTGTCTATTCTAAGAGAGCTTCCAAAATAAAGCTATGTCCTCTCTCATAGGTACATGGCATCAGATAGGACCTGGAACCAAATACAAAGGTGCAGAGAAAGGTAAAGCTATCAGAACACATGACATCTCTATATATAATTCAGTTTTGAAACATGGATACAAATACTCATTTACAATATATTTCAAATTTCTGCCTTAAACTGCAGAGAACTTTTTGTGCTGTCCAAAGCTGGGCAGAAATGAGGGTTTCTGCCTGCTGTCCTTCTAGTGCAAAATCTAGTCGTTACAATGCTCCCCTTCTCATCAAGGGCTTCACATCTTCAGATAAGCTAATGGGCAACTAGCAAACACAGTGGCCAAGACCAGCTCCATGTTCAACCATGCAATGATGGAGCTTCAAGAATTTGCTCAGCAACTATGAAAAAAGGAAAGCTAGTTCTGTTTAAAAAATCAGTTAATGAAGGACCCCAGAATCCCATTTTTTTCCATTTTTCTTCCAACTCCTCTAAATATGTAAATGGTGAGTGAGAACCTCACACACAAAACTCTAAGTCAGTCACCAGCACAGTTCTTTAGTCTGTCTTTGGATAGTTTACCAAAGAGGCACCAATATTTATTCCCTCTCTGCCCTTAAAAATTTTGGTGTCTTAGCAGATACAATGTAATCTTTGGTTACATAATGTGATGCTTTCATCACTTTTTGTTTTCTCTCTCTCTCTCTCTCTCTCACTTCCTACTTTTAAAAGATTTTCAAAGAGATAGGGAGGAGAACAAATCTGCCTAGAAAGCAATAGGGGTAGAAACTTTCTTTTGCAAGAAATTTCACATGCAAACAAATGGCTTCTTTTAACTTTAAGTTTGGGATTTGAGCTGGTGCTGAAGCATTCCTAGTTCTCAAGATCCCTTATGATGTGTCAAGCATAAAGAAGACCATGCTTTAGCCCAGTGCCATCTCACCTATGCAAGTGGCACAGGATAATTCAGTAGTCAGCCTCCTGTTTTTCTTGGGTTCATACAGGGATGGTTACTGGACTATCTGTAGAGAGTCTCCTGAAGAGCAGCAGAGCTGGCATAGGTAGGGCTGGCAATGAGTAGAGATGGGGTGGGTTGGGCCTTTGTGTCTGTCAAATGTCAAGGCAGAGAAGGGAGCAATGACACATGTGTGCTGTGCCTAGTGGAACAAACAAAAGCTACTTAATGCTCAAAGTCAGGTCATTGTGTAGTGTCATTATCATGTGGATGGTAGACATATTTTTCTCTTAACGTACAAGTTGAATACATCTTGTTATATATGTCTATATGTACTGAGAAGTAGCGTATGGACAGAAAGGGACTAGAGCATCAGCATGTTATTTTTTTAGCCTGGACAATTAACCCTAGAAACTACCCAAAGTACAGAGTGAAGCTCTTTTTTTTTCCTTTTTTTCTTTTTTTTAAGTGCCAGTGAACATACATGAAAATATAATAAGTATTACCAATTTTCATTTTTTCAAAGATATATGACAGTATCCTTCAAAAATCCCTTTCTCAAGAGTAATTTAAAAAAATAATGAACTTTCCGAGAACAGCAATATTGCCTGTGGCATAGAAAATCTACAGAACAAAGAATCCAAACCACCATGTCAGCTCAGAGGCCAGAACCCAATGAGCTGCCCAATGAATGAGAGCTGAAACTAACACACGACTCTTATTCCATTGACCAGAGTTCGTGATCTTGACAGCCATCTGCTGCTCAGAAGAGATGGGGCCCTTCTTCATGGTATTCCTTCTTTTGCTCTTCATCACTCTCTCTCCTCTTCAAACCTCTTTAGAGATGATCACTTTGACTTGTCTGTTGAGTGAACCTTATCTTGCAGCTCGCCAGGTGAGTAGGTCTGGGTAGTCAGTCCTTCACAGGTGAGCATGGTATAGCAACCATATCATCTCTGTAGCGCAGAGTGCTTGTAATGAGGGACCTCTGTTAATCACACCAGCTAGTATCTTATTGGCCACAAGAGAAATAAAACAATCCTCCTCTTTTTGGCTGTGGGATAACACAGCCAAACTAAAACCTCCTTTGCTTATGGAAACCCTAGTGCAGAAACAGTAGTGGCAAGCCTCATCTTCTCTCTTTTCACCTCTTTTTGCCATTTAGAAATTTTTTGGCATAATCCAGTTCTTGTTGCATTTAATTTCACTGCTGTTTCATTGATTTTTTTTGGCTTTCACAAATGAAAAACATACATTCATAAAGACAAGAGTCACAATTGGGAAATCCATAAAGATGGAAAATTTGATAAATGGAAAGGAAAGCCTCAAATATTTACAAAGAGGTATTAGAATGATATAATCGAACCCATGTACCACAAAATGATAAAAATCACTTCCAAACAGGAATTATTAAGATGTAACCTAGTTTTAACTGAAAAGAGTGCTGGAATTTTTTTTTCTGTTTAAGATAGCTAAAAGTGATTCTGTATATGAGCCAGATGGTTTCATCACAAAGAAAACCAGAATCTATCCTACTCTAGAAAGAGAAACTGTCAGCATCAATTTTGTCCAGCAGGCTTAGATTGGCATATCACCCATACTAGAGTCCCCTCTCTTGTTATTCCAAGAAGCTGTTCTGCAACTTTGTTTGGCTAGTAATACCAACACAGGAATCAAGGAAGAAACCTTATGTGCATTGTATCATATCACTTGCAAACTATATTCTCAACACAGAGAACACCAACTCAAATGGGCAGCTTGGTGACTGGCCTTTCATTTCTTCAGTTGAACAGACTTAAGAGCTAAGTGAAGAGGCAGTGGCCAAGATGAGAAAGTAGGTGGATGTTCCCCACCCCTTGAACTCAGGGCTAGGAAACAAGATCCGTTGGAAAGAGGTGTGCCAAAAAACTATATAAAACTTGTGACCCAGGGGCAAGCCCTAAGTTAATGGGTGGCAACCTATGGCAGCCACATTAGTTAGATTTTTTCAAAGGAATCTGTGGTTCTGTTGAAAGTCTCAGTGGTCCAGTACCCCCTTTAATTGAGAGGCAATAACAGGAGTAAGGAAATCTGAGTGAGGATGGCCAATGTCAACCCCAAATCAGCAGCAGCTGAGGAGGAGGAGGAGGAGTAAGAGGAGGAGGAGAAAGAGGAGAAGATGGAGGAGGAGTACACTGGTACTCATCTAACAGATGGTACACATCTGGCTTTAAAGTTTGCCTCTGAAGACTTCAGTAGTTCAAGTTTTTTCTTGGAGCCTTTTCTCCTCTCCCTATATCTTGTGCAGGTGGTGATGCTGGGTGGAGAGTATTTCAGTGTTTCTGGTTCAAGAACCTTCATTCCTCCCACCCTAGTTACTGAGTTTCTCATTCATCCTGATCTGGTTAGCCCCTTTAGCTGAGTTGAGAAAGAAAATTATTTCTGCACTCGATGAGAAGATAGCATCTTTGGGGGACAGGGCAAGACGCTCAGTTTGTCGAATCCCTTTGATGCCTTCTTTCCAGTTTGTCTAAGGGCTCCAGCGATCTGACTGTTTGTGAGAAACATTTTGTAAGCTGTCTCTACAGACATCTAGAGATAGATGTCAGGGCTCTGGGCATTCTAGCCCTCATGATAGTGGAGCATGGGAGATATTAGCAGAAACTTCGACCATGCCCAAAGAAGTGAACTTTGCCACCATGGCTGAAATGCACAATGGTGAAGTCCAGGCCCACCAAACACTGAAGGGAGGGTGGAAGAGCTTGCTGCTGCATGGAGTCTGTTGGTCTTTCCAAGGAGGAGGAAAAGGTGGTGGCAGTGAGAGATCAACTATTCAGTGCCCAAAGCGAGAGAACAGCCAAGCTATCACCTCCTTTCCCTCTGACTCCAGCTACAAGCTTCTTGCTGGTTCACACATGGAAAAGTAGACCTAGATCTGAATGGAGCTTTCCAAAGGGTTAGAGGTCTCCTCTTCTTCTCACTGATCTGATTCTTCAGTGAAAGTGGCCAAGTTTTGGCTAAAGAGAACATTTCATTCAAAAGTCTTAGAAACACTATTAAAAGTTAGTTTAAGGGTGGACACAGAGGCTGTAAGAAAAGGGTTTGAAGGGGGGAGGTGTTCACATGCACACAAGATGTCAAACAACACACACTGTCAGTACAGTGAATTGCACTGCAGTTGAGAGGTCTCACCCTCAGGACCCAAAGGTGTGGCCAGGTACTGATGATCCATCTGTCCTCCTTGTCCTCTCTTCTCTCTATCCCACCTCCCAACTAAGCTCTGGGGTCATTCTGCCCTCCAATGGCACTAGCCATTGGCAAAAATCAAAGTCTCCCAGAGAGGGAGGGAATGACAAAACCAGTGACTCCAGCAATCATATTGGGTTCTTTGGGGAGTTCTATTTGTTTGTTTTTGAGGAAACAGACCTAACATGGTTTTTGGCATTTTTTGTTTTTTGTTTTTATCCATGTGGGTGTGTGTGTGTGTGTGTGTGTGTGTGTGTGTGTGTGTGTGTGTGTGTGTGTGTGTGTGTGTGTGTGTGTACATATTTGATATTTTTCCCCAGATACTTTTAGTTCTCTAAACTTCCCGTGGCTTAATGTAAGTAAACATTTGTGTGGCTGGCACACAGTGCTGTGCTCTAAACAAGCACAACTTGACACTGGGCCACATGGAGATCAACACAGATTCAAAAAATACAACAACATTCAAAACACAGATAGAAGCCACAACAGGGAGCAGAGTCTGAGGGTGCCAAGGAAGGGTGAGATATGGAAGGAGGAGGGAAAAGAGAAGAGGAAAAGAGAAACAAAGCCCAGTAAATAGAAGCATATTCATGACAAGACTGTACATTAATAGAGGAATTTCCCCAAGGCACTGCAGAGAAGTAGTGCAGAGTTAGAACAGGCAGAAGACATCTGAAAAGGGCAGTGGGGTAGGCAAGGGAAATAAGGGTTTCCAAAGCTTCACTGTGTGTGGAAATAGATGGGCTTGACTTTTCCAGAAAGGATCTTGGGCACTTGCACAGAGATGATCTCTGCCATCATTTCTGGAAAGTCCACGCTCACCATATGGGACTTGATTAGCAGGTCGAAAGTGAACTGATGTAGCTCTCTTGCAATCTGTAGGGGACAATAAAAGAAAGAGAAATTACAATTGACAAAGAGTTTGCCATCTGCCAGATTCCCCCCACCCCTGCTGCTGGCCTGTTTTGATTTCTAGTCCTTCTAGTATGTTATCCTTTGCATATCCTTGGTCCTGTTCCATGAGGTCATGTGTGTGTGTGTGTGCATGTGTATATATGTGAGAAATAGTCTCCAGGGACATCACTTGAGGGCTCCCAAGAGACCTTTTACACCATTGCAAGTTTTCTGATTCAGGACTGGGTATGCTTTTTCCATAGTACCCTCCCCTTCTCTTTTCCTCTCCCTCTTATCTTTCCCCTGTCTCTCTTTCTCTGTCGGTCTCTCTGTCTCTCTGTCTGTCTCTCTGTCTTTGTCTCTGTCTCTGTCTCTCTCTGTCTTTGTCTCTCTGTCTCTCTCTCTCTTTATCTCTCTCTCTCTCTCTCTCTCTCTCTCTCACACACACACACACACACACACACACACACACACACACACACACACATCCCACAGGAGAGAAAAGAGAGAGAGGAAGACAATGGAAGCTCACATGTACATGAGTCAAGGAAGAGAGAGTGAAAAAAAATCTAAGTCTGTTTTGTCTGCTTTAAGCTTCTTCCTTGAGTCCCAACTTCTCTGTTCTCAGCTCTTCCACCCTTTTCACAACATCTAGTGGGGACATTGTGACCTGTCTTCCTTTCTTCTCCATTGCATTTTCTTCCTGGACATACTCAAAGCCAGAGGCAAATGGAAACACCTCCCAACACGTGGTGTCAGACCCTACTGGAGCTTATGATCACTTGGCTCTATCAGTCTGATAAAGCACCCTCCATCATTTGCTTACAGGCTGCACAGAATCCAGGAGCTTGGTGAGCTGGTAGAAGCGCCGTGAGCAGGATGTGGGATTTTTTCTTTTGCATGCAATAATACGATCGAGTTCCTTGATGTAGTTCATTCGAAGTTCATCAAAGAATTTTTGATTTTTCAGCCCATCCACTGGAACTGATGTGGAATGAAGACAGAATGGGGAGGGGAAGCATGCCCACGAAGGAGCATTAGACAAAGTACCAAGTTTCCTGACCACAAACGTGACCCCCACCCCCACAGGGAGGAAACTATCTACTCTGCTTCCTGTCAGTTGGAGCCCATGTGCCTGGAGCTTTTAGTCTGCCAAAGAGATATTAGGGGTAAGTATGGCTGTTCAAAAAGAAAGAAAATCTATTCAATCTTTCCTTTTACTGGTCTTTTCATAGACCTATTGCTTAGGACTCGAAGTTTTACATCATTCATCATCCATCTGTGATTTAGACAATTAACATGTCTGGGTTTTTTAAGCTGACGGTTTCCCACTTGAGCCACACCATCAGTCTTTAATGCATGACTTTGAACATCATGTTGCCTCTTATCTCCCACACAGAGGCTAAGAAAGCACTTTGCTTAGAGGAGACATTAAAGAAAGCTTTCTTGGCTGCCCAGAAGATGCTGCCTGTGTCATTTGAATAGACCTCAAACTATTGGCAGAAGAGGAACTACCTTCCAACAGATGATCCTTCCTGCTTTACTGCTCTACAATGACTATAAGGTAGTTCATTCCTGTTTGTGCAGAATTTTTGCACAGAAAAATTTCAGGGGCCTGCTACAAGTTCAGAAGGAGAGACTTGGAAGTAGATGAGGATCTGGTAAGGGTTGGATTCTCCCAAAGAAATGGATCTCTAGCCATGAAATTGGTCTTTGTTAGAACAAAGGATGCTGAGGGAGAATGAAAAGGGAGGAGAAAAGAAGGAGGAAAATGTCCAGGATCTGGCTTCTCATTAATAATCTTTTAATGGAATAAGTGGCCCCTAGTGAGCTTCTGTACTTCCATGTACTTACTAATGCTGAAGAGTAACAGTGCTTTCATGCACAGGAATTCCTGGGGGGTGATTTGGAGCCATCCAAACTCTTGAGAGAGGTGTCTCATTCGGACACATTGGCTGTACATCCGGGACTTGTGCATACGGTACCTAGATAGGAGACACACAGAAAAAAGAGGACTGAGGAGAGGCTTCAACAAGTTGTGAGGAAATGTTTCTCACTGCCCTCCTTTCCCAGATTCTCCAAGAAAAGCTTGCGTCTTCTCCTGCTGATACTTCAGTGACAAGAAACAAGGTTGTTCTTTTTTTCCCCAAACTTTCAAAATCCTGATAACTACTCATCTTTCCTGGCCAGGATATGGGTTAGCACATGGAATTTCCAGGTCTACATGCCCCTTCTGTTTCCTGAGGCAGGAAAGCATAACCAAATGAACACAATAGGGCAGGCACATGTCTCTCTGACTTCACTTCTGATATCCATGCTACAGTCACAGCCAGAGCCTGTGTTCTAGGCAGCCTAACTTAGAGGATTTGTAGAAGGGAAGACCCAGCAATCAGCACTTATAAGAAGGACACCAAGATTTGCAAGTGACCATATTTGTTGCTCCTGTCAACACCCCTGCCTGTCATTTTCCATAATAGAAATTTAATCATGTCTTTAAAATCTCTTAGCAATGGAGATTTCACATTGTCCTTTTGAAATGAGTTCTACTGCTTTTAAGTCTTCCAGGGAGCATTTTTTCAATTTCTAATCTAAATGTCCCTGCCAAAGGGATCCCACTCCAGTATAGATCAGCGGTTCCTTTCTTATTTGGGAGCTGTAAACATTATAAGCTGCTTCTGCATAGTGACTTGTGAACAAATCATCACATTATCACCTATAAATTATGTGGGGAAGTGGTAAAGGCTTGGACATCTTCTGGGCAGGAGGGCAACCTCTCTGATCCATAACTGGTCACAGGATTCTTCTAACATGAGATACAACCTTTTTCTACTTTCTGAGTTTTAGTACTGCAGAAATGAAGGGTGTGTGTGTGTGTGTGTGTGTGTGTGTGTGTGTGTGTGTGTGTGTGTGTGTGTGTGTGTGTGTGTGTGACAATAATTGATTTTTGTAGCATATAAAAAAAGGAAAGAGAAGTTGACATCCACTTATGTGGTGAGAACAAAGATCTCCCAGATGGGAAGTTTGTGCTTTGACATTTTGATTTTCAAGCCACTAGCTTGGTCAATCGTGTTAACATGGCTGGCATTGCCTGGTGGCAGGGGGTGTTAGCTTAGCAACCTTGCTCAAAGAGATCTTGACTGTCCTAGTAAAAGAGAAAAGGGGGAAGATAATGTAGAAGTATTCAATTCAGGCTGAGATCCAACTAGAAAAGGGAAGTGTTTAGATAGTTTCACAAGTCAATTGACCATAACAATATTGTTTTAACCTCTTTCACACTGAAGAATGTTTTCATGGTAGTATTAAGATTTGAACACTGAGCTTTATTCTTGCTAGGTAAGTCCTCTACCACTTGAGCCATAGCCCCAGAGAAATTTTTTTGCTATAGTTATTTTTCAGGTAGGGTCTCAAGCTTTGCCTAAGGCTGGATTCAGATTGCAATCTTCATTTTTTTTAAAGTATGATCTGCTGTCCCTGGAATCTGTTCTTACTCTGGTCCCATGGTATGTCCATGTCTTTGTTGATGAAAAATTGCAGTCTTTTTAACTTTGGAAATCATGGTCCTGGGCATGGGGATTCTTAGAATACTGCTGCAGGCTGTAGAGATAAAGTGGGGAATGGAGAGGAGAGGAGGAGAAAAGGCAAGGCAAATAATTCAGATAGGAAAGGAAACAGAAGTGAGGGAAAAGGCCAAAAAGAATCAGGAGAGAGTTAAAGGAGGAAAAGGAAAGATTAGTAGAGATTAGAAAAAAAGGGCTGGGAATGTGGCTTAGTGGTAGAGTGCTTGCTTAGCATGCATGAAACCCTGGGTTCGATTCTTCAGTACCACATAAACAGAAAAAACCATAAGTGGCACTGTGGCTCAAGTGGTAGAGCGCTAGCCTTGAGCACAGAGAGGCTCAAGGACAGTGTTTAGGCCTTGAGTTCAAATTCCAGGACTGGCAAAAAAAGAAAAGAGGAGGGACTGAAATTCAGGAGAGCAGAAGTAAGGGGAATAAAAATGAGTGAATATGAGTGGACGTGAAGATTGGAAAACACTGAGCATAGTTCCTGGTATACTTTAAGTGCTCAATAAATGAAGCATAAGAAGGTGCTATTATGGTAGTAGTCATAATTTTACAGATGAGATTTTAAACTCAGAGAAGTTCAGTGTTTTTTCTCATGGTCATATAGCTGGCTTTAAGTCCATTAACTACACACCATGAACAGGGAAGGAAAGAAGAAAACTAGGCTTGGTATCAGAAAGAATGGCACATGGTTATAGCCTAGGTTGTACAAGACCCTTTCTTTCTCTTTAGGTCTCCCATCAGTAACTTAGAGAGGCTGGAAGTGGCTCTCAACTGGGGACTGCTGGTGTCAGAAATGGGTGGGGGCAGTTTGGGCTGTTAGCATGAGTGGAATATTATTTAATATTTAGTGCACAGGTCCCAGGGATGTTAAATATATTCAGATATGCAGAATGTCTTGCACAATGAAAAGTATCAACAGCATTCATGTTGAGAAACACTGGTCTGGGTGTTGATCGGGATCCCCAAACTCTAATATAGTGGGTTCTACAAGAGGAAGGGACCTGTTGTTTCAAAAGCCCTGTGGTGTGGGGAAATCTAGGTCTCTGACTGTGGGGATCTCTGTGGAACCTTCTGATTAGATGAAAGAGACTCAGCTAGAAATCTGAGATGGGATATCACATGCATACTTGAGGGCAGAGAAGGAAATGGGGATTTAGAAAAGAACCAATTTTCACTTTGTCTCAGATTTTCACAAAGGTCTCAAGGCTCTGGTGAAGGTGGAACAGGTGCTGAGAAAGTTGATTCAATAATTCAAGGGTGGCAGGGGCTTGATCATAGGAGAAGAATAGTTAAGAGCCTTTTCAAAGTCTGCCCCAGAAGATGGCATCATAGGTAACTCTTCAGAGGTTTGGAAATCACAGAGCAGCTCATGCCAAAATCCCAATGGCTATTCATAGCTCTGGCTACCAGGGTTGGCAAGGTTGACTGAGGGCAACTGGGGACACTTGCATGGCACTGTTGTACTATAAGGAATCACTGGCCTGTAGATTTTATTTTAAGGCTCTTCTGGGTTAAAGGGCTGAAAGAGAGGGAAACTCAATTCCAGCTATGACTGAAAAGATTCTCTATGGCAAAAGTAGTTCAAGGTTCTTGGGAATATTCTTGTCAGCTCCATTCACAGTGTCACTAAGGGACCTCAGATAGAAGACATAGGGGACTATTATTCATAAGGAGAGAGGGAATCACAAAGAGATTTTTTTTGTCGGTCGTAGGGTTTTAACGCTGGGCCTGGTACTGTCCCTGAGCTCTTCAGATCAAGGTGAGCACTCTACCACTTGAGCCAGAATCCACTTCCAGTTTTCTGGTGGTTTATTGGAGATAAGACTCTCATGGACTTTCCTGCCTGGGCTGGCTTTGAACCTCAATCCTTACAACTCAGCCTCCTGAGTAGCTAGGCAAGATTTTTTTAACTCTTGGCCAGGCACTGTACATCCCTCAGTTCTTGTTTAACGAGGTTCTGTTATTATTAGCTAATTAAGAAACAGAGTCATCGGGGCTGGGAAGGTGGCTCAGTGGTAGAGCGCTTGCCTTGCATGCCTGAGGCCCTGGGTTCGATTCCTCAGCACCATATAAGCAAAAAGAAAAAAAGCTGGAAGTGGCGCTGTAAGTGGTAGAGCGCTAGCCTTGAGCTGAAGAGCTGAGGGACAGCGCCCAGGCCCAGAGTTCAGGCCCCACGACTGGAACCCCCCCCCCAAAAAAAAGAAACAGAGTCATGGAATTAAGGATCTTTTCCAAAGATGATAAATATGGGAAATAGTCAAACCAATATTTTCAATTTTTAGGTGAGCAAAATGTAACTTCAAAATGAGAGCCCTTGGACAAATTGATGACAGAAAAATAGAGCTGCCACTAGAACAGGTATGATTAAGAAGAGGAAAATGCTAGAGTCAAGGTGACTTTATTTGGCTGTACCCAACCTCACCATTCATATGTAAACACATGGATTAGCTATAAAAAGAGAATATAAGAATATCAAGAAAATTCAAAGACATAAGATTTAGGTAGTAACCAGCATAGTCCTTGGATGAAGTGTCTGAACAACAAATGATGATCAACAATAGCCTTCAGCAGTAGTGAAATGATCAAAGTCTGGTACCAGGAACACTTACTCATTGAAAACCAAGTCAGGGGCGAAGTAGAGCATCCTGGAGTTGACATTGGTGAAGGACCGCCAGCCCATAGCAAATACCATGAGTCCCATCCAAGAGTACTGAATGACTGCCATCTGGTCATCCACATGCAAGTTTCGGAAGCCTGGAGCAAAAAAGGGGTAGATACATAGTCATCCAAGATGTTGATGGGCTGAGTTACATTGAGGCTTCTACTGAACTGAGAATTTTTGGCACTAGAGCAGCCCCAGAGAAGCCAGGAGACATCAGTGTTGGTAATAAGGGAAGGGGAGGAGAGCAAATGACTATATGACAGAGCTAATATTTCTTGCTTCCATATTTCACGGAGCTGCTCCAAAAAGTTCATGATGAAGGGGAAATGGGGCATTTTCTTTTGGCAGAGAGTATTAATCTAACACTGACATTTTTGTCTAAGCCTTTTACTTACATCGGCTTATCTAATTATCCCTGGTCTGTGAATCAGGAAAAGTGAGCCACAGAGAGGTCAAGAAACATATACATGATCATTTAGCTAGTAACTGGTAGATCAAGTACCATAGCCAAGGAGTATGCCTTCAAACTATATGCTCTGGATCATTAGACCTTTGGAAAGATGCAGTATAATTATGTTTGCCCACAAAGACAGCCCATTCTCACTTTACAAAGGTCTTTTATACCTGTAACCTTGTGTGTGTGTGTGTGTGTGTGTGTGTGTGTGTGTGTGTGTGTGTGTGTGTGTGTGTGTGTGTGTCGGGTGGGGGGGCAGTGCTTGAACTGAGGGCTTGGGTGCTATCCTTTAGATTTTTTTTGACTGGGGCTAAAGCTCTCACTTGAGTTACAGCCTCACTTTTGGCTTTCTGCTTGTTGACTGGAGATAAAAGTCTCATGGACTTTCCTACCTAGGCCTGCTTTGAACTGCAATCCTCAGATTTCAGTCTTTTGAATAGCTTGGAGTACAGGCATAAGCCACCAGTGCCCAGTTTCTACCTTTAATCTTATTTGACCCTGATAACCATCCTAAGAGAGGGACATTATACTATATCAGCAAATGCATATGGGACTTAACAGCCACTGCCTTCACACCACCACCTGTCTTTTCTCTGGCCCTCTTTCAGCACCATACTTTCTCTCCATTCCTTTTCTACTTAACAGGTAACTCTGGCCCTGATGCTTTCCTAACCTGCTGTTCTCAGACATAAAGGTCCTGTATTACTTGCCTTTTTAGACTGATTTCTTGTTCCTTGCCTTCTGACAATTAGGTCTCAAGCATTCTGAAAAACTTACAATTTGCTGAATACTTCATGTTTTCCCTTGCTTCTGCAGCTTTGCTATCTTTACATAGCAGTTGCTTTCTACTAGGATGTACTCCATCTTTCCAGGTTTTCTATATGATAAACATTCCATCATTTTCAAATCTTGACTCAAAAACCACCTCCTCTGTGAAGCCTTTTCCAACTTGTCCAAGCAGAAAGCTTAGTGAATGTGCTTTTGCTTTTACACTGTGCCTTGGATAGTCCTAGCCAATTACAAAGTTCATTTCAAAGAACTGAAATTTATGTATACATCTGCCTCTCCCACAAGAGTCAGACCTTCTTGAAATAAGAGACTATGTCTTATTTGTTTTGTTTTTCTTATGCATAGCAAGTTCTAGTTATCTGATTGCACATGTAAGAAATATTACTTAACAAATAGGTTAAGGACCTCCAATTTTTGTACTTTATGATATGGGAATTAGCTGGTTTCCAAATGACTTCCCTAAAAGTCAGAGAACAGAGCTGCCCAGATGTTACCTTTGCAAGAGCACACAGCCATAGATAGCCAGATTCTCCTGGACATTATAAATGTAGCCAAATCAGAATACATCCCTACCAGCACCCTTTCTTCTTCCAAATCTGGGCTTCTGTGTTTTGTCTTGCTATATTGCATTAAGAATGCTTCTTTGAATTTAAATCAAGCTTCTCACTTTCCCATCGATGACCTCATTTAACCCTCACCATAACCTCAGAGGTTATGTGACACTTATTTTTATCAACAGGGAACCTGAGGATTAGAACAGTGAGCTGCCTTGTCTGATGTCATAAAATCAACATGCACTAAAGTGGTTCTTGAATCCAGGTATTTTGATTCTTTGCTTTAGCACCTTTTTAATTTCACCACTGAAAGTCACAGTTCAGGAGCAACAAAGTCACAAGCTTTCCTTTGGATATAGGCTCAGATCTAAAAGTTGCCGCTATCTAATGATCTGCTTTGTTGGTCCCTGTCTACCTACATAGCTGTATTCCCCTTTGCTTTTAGATCTCAAGTCTCCCAGTCATCAAGGGTTCTAAAATCTCCCATTGCACTATCCTTAGTTGAAGTCCCAAGCCTCTGCAACCCACCTTCACTATACTGACATGTTAACAGACTGCCTGGAGCCTCAGACCCCAGAATATTTCCTTCCTGTAGCCTTTTTATAGTACAGGATGTCTGGAACTGACCCTTCCTAGTAGGACATAAGAAATAGGGTCCACATGAGTAGTATCCAAAGATCACCTGAGGAATAGGCCTGCAAGTTTGAAAAATGGATCTCTGTACTGGGAGACAGTGGGTAGAAAAGAAAAAAATGCTTTCGATGATAAGCCTTGGTTTTCTAATGGAGTATGTCAATATAAAGGTATATTGATACATCTAGGATAATCTTAGCAGATGAGCAGAATAGCTCAATATCGATGTATATATGACCATATAAGATGATGCTCAGCAAAATGAACTCCAAGACATTAACACAAGAGGTTTTTCTTTGTTGTTGTTGTTTTTTTTTAACGTATTATGTGATTTCTTGTTTCTTTGTGTTTTCTTCCCCCTATGGTATGTCCCCTGTTGTCACTGTAGTTGATTTTGGTACCCTGGTATTGTATATACATTTATTTGAATTAGGGGAGGGAAGGGGAACAACAGAATGGTAAGACAAAAGACAAGGAGGGAACCAATGCAACAGCAATATTCACAAGACAATATGTTGGAAATGATCTGTACAACTTGGGGGGGCTGGGGGAGGGAAAATAGGAGAAAAATGAGGGGAGGAGTAACAAGTTTGACAAAAATGTACTTATTACCTTACTTATGTAACTGTAATCCCTCTGTACATCACCTTGACAATAAAAAATAAAGGTATACTGAGGAAACAGGATGCAACTGAACAGGAATAGAGATGCTTCCTCAACTTTGACGTACCAGAGAACTAACACAGAGGTGAAAAAAGGGAAATATTAGTCTTGTTGTGGTACTAATGGACAGTCCTTAGTGGTGCTTAACACTCAAGCCTAAGAAGTGCACATATGGCTAGTATGTATAACTGGCTTATTCACAGAGTAGATATGTCTAATCTGATTGTAATACATAACTGCTTTTGAATATCCAGCTTTTTGGCTAGCATGGTTAGCAAGGGATAACTAGAAGAAATAGCAGCCTCAGTACTACAGATTTCCTCAGGAATTCACTCATTAACGACTTATCTGTCACTGAAGTCATTCTAAGATTTTGAAACACATCCAACAGGTTAGAGGGAGCAGAAGTATTTTCTTTGCTTTCTTACTACAATCTAATCAACATCCTATTAGTAATTTGCTATGGAAACTTGTAGTTTCATGTCTGGGAGAGAAGGCTCAAAGCAAGGTTAGTTTGAAAATTTTTGTTGCTCTAGTGAGCCTGCTACCCAAAGTCTTTAAAGAAGACAAGTCAACGTTGGGATCTATTTGTGAACTCTAGGATTAGTTTGAGATTTGTGAGAGTGGTAATTTAGAACTCATTTCATTATAGGAACCTAACATTTACCTACCATGCATCAGGTACAATACTGGGTACTCTATACATAATTTCTGTATTGATTACAACAAATGAAGAAAGACAGGCACAAAGAAGACGTGATTTATCTAAGGTAACATAACCATTTGTTGAGTGAGGACACCAAATTAGATACATGTGATTCTAAATACACAGTGTACATGCCATCTGCTCATCTGCCTCCAGTTATTGGTTATAATTTATTAATGTGCCAGATACCCTGAGGCAATTTTCAGATATTATTACCATTATGGAAAACTTACAACAAAATTTATCTGACTAGGTTCTTGGCGCAGTGCCTTGGACAGGACAGTCACTCAAGTCTTTCAAATGAGCAAAATCACTTGAGCTAGTTGGTGATTATTGATGGTATGAATACTAGTTTTTATAAATGCACTAATCAACTTTTTACTGAAGCTATTCTTCTAAGCTACTCAGTCAGAAATCATTTACTCTGGCAAGCTAGATGGTGAACTAATTTTAACTTGTGGATTTGTTAATATAAAGAAATGAATTCCCATTTTGGGGGTAGGCCAGTGATTCTCCAGTCATATAAATTCTGCCATGATGATTGGTAAAACCACCCAATTAAATATAAAAGGTTCTGAGTTTGAGTGCCATTTCCATTTGTTGAATCACCAATGGATCAAGTTCATTAATTTTTTTGAGCTGTGGTATGGAAACAGAAATAATAATCCTTACAATTTACAGGACTGCTTTGAGATCTATGTATATATAAAGGTCGGTATCCAAAAGGAGGTCTGTTAAGTATTTGGAAACTGCTTGGGAAAATTAAACTTTGAATCTCTATCCAGCACATTGCACCAAACCATCCAGCTGAAGAAGTGATAAGAATTACAACAGGTTTTTATTCCTTTTTGTGTGAACTCTATTTTGGCACAGTACATGTGCAGCTAGAGTCCTTGGGCCTTCTTCCCAGTGATCTTACTGGCTAGTCAACCTCAGCTCCCTAAGCTGGAAAAATATTTGGGATGGTCTAGTAGCAGCCATGGGACCTTGTGAATTTGAAATAACAACAACAAAAGGCTTGATAGTCAACATGAATATCTTCAAAAGCAGCAAACCTACCATATGGCCCAAGTGATCCTCAATGAATTTTTCAGCCCTTAAAGTAGGCAAGCTAGGAGTTACAGAACTCAACGTCACAATAGACTATAGTGAGAGTAGAAAGAGGATGGGATTTGGAATCAGGAGGGGGCCTGGGCTCAGATTCTAGAAATGCTACTTTCTGGCTGTGTCATGGTGAACCAATCATACCTCTTCTGAGAATGTCAATAGCTTTGTAAAATAAGAGAAAAGAGCTTGTACTTCATAGGATTCTTATGAGAATGAACTAAGGTAATATCTAGAGAGCTGCTCTTTTTACTATGAATAAAAATATCCATCTGAATAGCAATTATTATTAGAAGGCAGGTTAATCTGTGACTCAACAGAAGGAGATTTAGGTTGTCGATCTTTCAAAAGACTCTTTGAATCATATAATCTCAGGATTAGGAGACTCTTTAAAGAGCATATGCTTCACTGGTTTTCAAACTGCATTCCCTAGAACCACATGACTATGCAAAAGTGACCTGGGACTTACCTGGGGTGGTGAGGAAGAGGCTGAGCTGATGATGCCCAGACCAAACACTCTGGCTTTAAATCAATCAGTTCCACTTGTACCCGTGTACAATGCTTTTAAGAAACAAAAGCATTTGGCTACTAAAAGAAAGTTTGTGCATCTGTAGAGGATCTCTAAAGCTGTTCTGTTTTAATAAGCACACATGTGTAAACAACAGATGACTAAGGAAGGAAGTTCTCTATCACTGCAGGTAGCCAAGAAGATGTTAGACAATCAGTCAGTTGCCATCTAACTTTTGCTCCCATTATGATTCCTAAGGTTGTTTAAAAAACAATGGAGCAAAATTGAAAAAACTGTCTATTTAGTCCAAAACATCCTTCACATATATAGATGAAGAAACAGACACAGAGGGTAAAGTGCTTACATAATGAGTTACCAGTAGAAGTAAGACTAGAACTCAATTGTGATCACTCCCAGCTCATGTTCTTTCCACCATACTGTATTGTAAGTATTCCTGTAGTACAGCTTCTAAAGTGATAGTGAAGACAGAATGTCAATCAGGCTCAGGATTATTTTGGGGGTAACCCTTTGTGTACACATGTAGAACAATATCATAAGGCACATGTCTATAGGTATGTAATTATGGGGAAATTTTCTCAGCAGGAAGTTGAATGAGACTGTATCAATTAATGTACCTGGTATAGTCTGGTACAAAATAAATGCTGATAAACAACTTTAGGCATGGTAGCAGTAGCTCATGCCTGTAATCCTAGTTTCTCAGGAGTCTGAGGTCTGAGGATTAGAGTTTGAAGCCAGCCTGAGCAGGAAAGTCTATGACATCTTCAGTTAACCAGTAGAAACATCCACAACTGGCACTGTGGCTTAAGTGGTAAAAAAAAATGCTCAGGGACAGGTCCCAGGCCTTGAGTTCAAGCACCAGGACTGGTACACAAAATTATTTTAGAAAATGCTGTGTATCAATGTGTGCCATTGCAGATACTATCATGCTGTTTTTCCTTATTCTCTGTATCTCAAAGCCCCTCAGCATTTAAAGATAATAGTAATTCTTTCCCCATAAGGTTATAGTGAAGACTGCATAAGCTAATGAGTACCTGGGTTCATAGGAACATTTACTAAATATGACATCCTTTATCCCACACTCTCCTTTTCCTTTTCCTTACCTGGCAAGGCCTTGGCCCACTTGACTACATGTACAAGTTGTCTTTCTCCCAGCTCATTCAGGCTAGAGAGCAAGGCTGCAAAGGAGTCGGGCTGGTTATTGTCATGTCCGGCACACACCACACCTGGCTCAATGGCTTCCAAGACATTCAGAAAGATGGGCTGACACTCATAGCCTTCAATGTGTGACACTGTCATCTTCTGGGATGGGTCTTCTGTGGGGCTGCTGGCACTGGAACTCTCTCCTTCCTCCTGTAGTTTTAGATTGCCAAGTTTCTTCAGTTTACGGGCTATTGAGAGAGAAGAGAATCTTGAATTTATCATCAGTGGCCCCAAACACACAGAAGCAGCAGGTTAGGAAAATGGTTTGCCTGCTCATGGGCTGTAAGATCCTTAAATGCAAATGCTTATTCAGATTCAACATCCCAAATCTCTGCTAAGCCCAAAGTTTCAAACCTGTTTTCTTCCCTGATACTCATGCCAGAGTAACTGGTATACACTTGGATTATATTATGTCTCAATGAAGCCTTCAGAACGAATATTTGGGACACTTAATTCATTTATAAAGATCTTCATAATTCATTAAGTAGTGCAACAGACCCTTTGTTTGAGCTATATTTAAGAGTGAAGAAAGGACATAGTCTGGTACAAGATAAATGATCATAAATTTCTATAAAATGACAACTTGGTAGATGTTAGACTACAAGCATCAAACAAAGATGGAGGGTGGGTCCATAATCACTCTGCCTATGTGGAGTTAGAAGATGCTTTACATCAAAGGTACAATTTGCCCTACTTTTTGCAGACTGATGAGGATTTCACAAGGTAGAGATGGGTAGAAAGGGTATTAACATAAGCACTGAGAAGTGTTCTGGGGATCAATCAGAGATCAATGTGAATGAAGTGCACATTGTATATAAGGGGTAATTTATTGTTTTTTAATGAGATTTAAAAAAGATGAACTCTGATTTTAAATGGGCAGATATATCATAGTAAGAAGTTAAGGCTCTATCTTACAAGTGGCAGACAAATATTGATATCAAGAATGTGATGTAAATGTGTTCATGTCTAGTAGATTGTTAGGAAAAGAGATCAGAGAAAGACTAGATTTACTTTCTGAGCACCAAAGAAGTACCAAAACGTATAGGTACTTAGAATACTTGGATTTTTAATAGTTACATCTCTCACATTACTGTGGATGATATAAAAGTAGGTACACAACAGTTGAGAAAGTAAGCATGAGATGGGAATGAGGTTTAAACAAATAGCCTTGAATGCACTTTGTATCCCCATACTACATATCATCACACTTTGGGCACAATTAACAGGGATTTTCTTATATTGTATTTCCTACTGAGCACTATCAATAGTTTTATATGTTGGGGCTGGGAAGGTGGCTCAGCGGTAGAGTGCTTGCCTTGCATGCCTGAGGCCCTGGGTTCGATTCCTCAGCACCACATAAGCAAAAAGAAAAATGCCGGAAGTGGCACTGTGGCTCAAGTGGTAGAGCACTAGCTTTGAGCTGAAGAGCTGAGGGACAGCGCCCAGGTCCAGAGTGCAGGCCCCGTGACCGGACCCCCCCCCCCCCAAAAAAAAAGAGTTTTATATGTTGTCAGGATTATACCCATAGTTAAACATGCACTAAAACACATTTTCTCCATTGGAAAGGGTATAGGGGGAATGTGAAGACATGACAGAGTGTCTTTACCACTACCATTTGTCTATAAAATGAAAATGATGCATAAAAGGGAGCCATTAGAAAGGTTACTAAAAATAACATTCTACACTATCACAAGAATTCCCAAATCAAACAGTATTATCTTCCTAAAATATAATGTTTGTGTTTGATTTAATCTGTCTATCTTTCCCTCTTCTTTGTATCTGTCTCTGTCTCTATTTCTATCACACACACAGAATTTTGAGGTCTTTGGGCATTCCAACGTCTACTTCATAGTATTTTCCCTTAGCATTTATATCAACAGAAATATAAATAATTGAAATGGTCATACTCTGATGTCTAGAATAGGCACATGCATGGGGTCTAGATCATACACCATTTTTTCTTTATCCTCTTAAAAAGTAATAAGAAATAAAAGAGCTATAAAACAAAGAGCAATTGATTTTTCAATTTCAATAGATGGATACAACTAAATGTACAGATCATCTGTTTCTGGCTCTTGTAGAAAAAGTTACATATCTGAACCTACCTTTCAGCTCCAAATGGAAAAAAGAAGCCCCACAGTGCAAACTCCAATCATAGTCATCACTCAGTTAATCAATGCAACAATGAATGAGGAAAATGGTGGAATTAGGGAGGGTACAAGAGGAGCACAGAGGAGGAACTAAGGGGAAAAATAACAAGAAAGCCTGAGAAAGCAATCCTGAAGACAAGACTTTCTCCATTGATCATTTCTGTAGGGGCTGGCTGGTCAGTATCAATAGCTGCACACTCACTGCTAACTTCAATCTCCCACCAAGGACTTAGGCTGGGAGGCATGGTATGGGGAGAGTTCCATCTTTTCCTAGAGCTAGAGGCTTGGGGTATACCATCAGCTTGTTATCTGGTAAATTCATTCATTTCTTGAATGCAGCTTCACAATCTTGTAATGGCTATCAGATCTGGTTCTAATGCCATTCCTACAGATAAGACCTCAACCTCTCTACCACTAGTACTTTCTTGTCTTGAGCATAGGAGTTGCCAGACCATGCAAGTACCCCTTATAACCAAGTATGCGACAGAGTTGTAATTACCCTTGTGCCTGAGTAACTGAGACAGGTAAGAGTAACTATCATTTTTTCAGGGCTACCTATGGCTCTCCATTCAAAAGCACCTTACATTATTTAATTCTACTGTACTCTCTCAGGGGCTAGGGATCTTTCCTATCTCTGGTTTGCAAATGAGCAGACATAACACAGTTATCAGAAAAGAGAAGCCAATAAGTACAGCCTGCTGTACATACTACAAGGTCCATGTTCTATTTTATGATGCCTTATCAAAGTGTCTAAAGCACTAGATCTTACAGTTTTAGCCTTAAAGCAGAATTAAGAGGAGATGGGTGAAGTTGGAGCATTATCTTCCCCACTTGGCATCTTTACTCTAGACTCTAAACTTTAGTTGTTGGTACCTCATCCAGAAAGGAATAGACAAGAAGCTATAATACAATTGTCACTTGCCTAAATAGTAACAGATTTAGTGTACTGCTATGGCATAAAGACTAACAGCATGAGAAAACAGGAAGAATCTGTAGAAATCTTTTTTTGTTGTTCACCTGAGGGTCCTAGCCAGGTTGAAATACCTTTAGGGGCTACACAGGTAACAAAGAATGAAGATGTTTGTGGTGTTGTTGTTGTTGTAAGGTGATTCATCCCAGAAGCCACATTTTGGAATATGAAATATTGGAGCCTTTATTATACAGTTAGCAGGCTGCAGGCACAGCTAGGAAACATGCTGGAGAAGAAAGAAAGAACAAAAACAGTACCAACAAGCCAATTCAGCTCTGATGGACAGCTGAATTAGGACGCCATGATGACCAGAGACAAACCAGGAGACAGGACACAGGACTCCATCAAGGAGACATGGCGCCCCAGCACCTAGGCTGTTCCATGCCTAAATAGGGTCTGGGCAGGGGGCAGGGTCACAGGACACTCCCAGTCCCAGTCCCAGGTTCAGCAACCTATCAGCTAAGTGCCCATCCCTCTCTCCAGGGATGCAGGAATGCCTGAGGGGGCATTCACCTGAAGGGGGTAATCACCCTTCCCCTACCATGAAGACAAGATTTCAGACCTACTCAGACATACTCAGGTACTAGCAGAACTTTTCCATCTAGGGAAGATAGGCCTTAACCTTCCATATAGGGTATGCTTAGAGGCTACTCAGAGGCTGGTGATTCAAGCCATTTAGGGAGCTAATCAATGCAGCATCAGAGCATTCAGCTTTCCTAAGACTATGACATCTGCATTTCTCTAAAGCAGAGCCTTCCTAGCTCACCCCTTTGAACCAGGCATCTACACTTCAAAGGATGGCTTGCCTTACCTGGAGGCCTTGGGGCTGAGTGGGAACTCCCATCTCCTGCCTAGGCACCAGGATGGTGGCTAGGTATCTGCATTTCAAAGGATGGCTTGTCTCACCTCTAGGCCTTTGAGCTAGGTGAAGACCCACCTCCCCCATCTTCTGCATAAGCACCAGTGTGGCTGCAAGAAAATATTTAGGCTCAGTCACCTTACTTGTGTGTGTGTGTGTGTGTGTGTGTGTGTGTGTACTGTGTATGTGTGTAGATGGTTAGTACTCTGTGTAGTGAATTGGAATGAGTGTCTTATTGCCTTCCTACCTCTTCTGAAACTCATATTCTAAAGTTGAATCCAATCCTTAGTCACCATTTTGGGACTTGTGAGGTGACCCCAACCTTTCAAATAAAAGATGAAAAGATGTATCGGGGCTGAACTCAGAGAGGATGAAGTAACCTAGTATCAGAACTGGGATTAGAATCAGAATACTTATTTTAACTTCATTAGTTCTCTCTTTAACTTATTCCTGTCCTAACCCAGTTATATGCCTTTCTGAGCTCCTTTTCAAACCTGCACTGTCTAATTATACAATAGCCACTAAGCCATGTGTGGCTATTTAAATTTAAATGATTTGAGCTGGGAATGTGGCTTAGTGGTAGAGTGCTTGCCTAGTATGCATGAAGTCCTGGGTTCTATTCCTCAGTACCACATAAACAGAAAAAGCTGGAAGTCTTGCTGTAGCTCAAGTGGTAGAGTGCTAGCCTTGAGCCCAGGACCTGGGTTCAAGCCCCAGGAAGTCCCCCAAAAAACAAAAGAAAAAATTAAATGATTTAAAACATAAGAAAGTTAAAAACAGACTCCCTTAGTTCACTGGACATATTGCTAGTATTCACGAGCCACATGCAGCCAGTGGCTGCTAAATTAGACAACAAAGATAAAAAACATTTTAATCATCTCACAAAGTTCTATGCTTTGAATATAGACTGCTCTCTGGGGCAGCTGTTTCATTTGCCATACCATTCTCAAGCTATTGATGAAGAAGAAAAGAACCCCAAATGAATTATATACAGATGGATCAATTGGCTTTTTTTTCAAAAGGTGGAAGAACACACAGAGCAATTGGTGGTGCTGGCTAGATCTGTGAGATCTAGATAGATCCATCTATCACTTCCCTCTCCCACCAATGACTCCGATCTCTGTGGGGTGATGATTTGTGGACCTAAGCAAACTCATTATAAATAAGATCAATGTGTACAGAGACTGTGGGGAGAATCTTTCAAGATGA